TACATATTTTATGCATAAATAAGAAAATACTAATGTGGCGCGAATACCAGGTAATAAATAAATAAAGAAAGAAATAAAAGAAAGAAAAAGTGTATAAAACCTAAAATAACAAATTAACATTTTATCACAATTACTTGTAATTTGATTTCCTCCTTCCAAATCCAAGAAGAAAAGGATCAAAAATTGAAAAAATACAAAATTAATTTTTCTTTTGTTTTTATTTTGTTTCGATTTTTTTCTTGTTCATTTTAAAGAAAAATCTTTGAAACTCTGACAATATTAATTAAGTGAAACATATAATAAAAACTCTTCCTGAAGACCTAGCAGCAAAACGAGAATTTAAATGAGGTAATAAATTTACAAATTTTCCAAGATTTTAAAAATTCTTCATAAAAAATTTTTTTTTTTTTTGGTATTTTTGACTAATCTTATACTTTTAGGATAAAATCAATTGAATTTACTTAAAATTACTCCAAATGTTCGGGAAGTGTGCAGTTGCAGTCTCAAATTATACATAAAAAAAAATTGTAGTGAAATATTGATCGTCTTCATTATGGACAAAATAATGTTGGCCCATAATAAATAGTGTTTGGGTATAAGTATGAGCATATTTTATCACAATTATGTTAACCTCATTACTACCAATGTCATTTAAATAGAACAAGTTTTAAATTATATATATAGAAAAGCTATTTCACTTTCTAAAGTAGTAATTTAAAGAAATTTTGTATTATTTTAATTTTTAATAGAAATTTTCCAATTTTTTTATCGAAATCATCAAGTGTTTTGCCTAAAGCACCTCCTCGAAGCCCACATTTTTGATGAATCCAAGCAACACTTCTCGGACACTAGCAACACAATCTCAGCGAAAGATCTCGCATAGACAGGCACACCAGCGAAGGCCCACCTTGTTTTTATGGATTTTCGCTTCACACTCGAACAACAAAATAAGTTAGTTTTTCTTCCAATTCCTATTAGAGATCCGCAATTTTGAGAAAAATTTTTGTTTGGTAGTTGATTAGTTAATATATCAGTACAAATTTGCAGCCCGAAAAATAAAAGTATGCATATAGCCATTAAAGACTAATAAATGCAAATTTGAAAAAAAAAATTCTTATATAAAACAAGAATTGGAAAACGTTGTGTATAATTAATAATTTGTTATTATTGTTGGAATTTCAAAAAAAAAAGAGTAAATTGAAAAGAAAGAAATTCAAAATTTCAGTTAGAAAATGTAAAAATATCCTAATCGTATTTAACATAATTGCAATACTATAGAAATGGGGAAAAAATAACAAAGCATTGGCGACTCTTTCTTTTAACTCTGGCAGGGTAAACTTATTTTCGCATAGCTAAAAATTAGTCAGTTCAGTTTAAATGCTACTTATATCTATGGATATTGAAACACTTAAATTCTATATGAAAATTTACGATATGAGCCACAGAGTAATTGACAGAGAATTTACGATATGAGCCACATAACGGCAATTAACGTATATACAAAAAAATCAGATGTAGTCAGCACAGGACCGACCGACATTATGTCTTTTGTCAGTAGAATGTTGATGATTTACAATAGATTTATTTAAAAAAATAAGGTAAATTTCAGAAAGCTAGTTGCCATGTAAAACTTGGTTCTTTAAAGAAGGTTTCACTTTCTAGAATCCAATTAGTCCGAAAAGTTTGTTACTTAGTTACAGAACGGAAATTGCAAGCTTCCAATTGCTGTTTCAACAAGAGTATTTCATATTTCTATCATAAAAATAATATTTTTTTAATCAATTAAATAAAATGTTTTAAAAATTGTGGAAAACTTGTTTTTCTTAAACATTTTTTTATATGCAAAATACGTCCCTGGAAAAAAATTGTAAACGAATAACCGATATAAACGACCATTTAATTTCTGTTTAGAATTTACATGACAATTTGGCATTCAATTCGAGCTACAATCACTAAATTTAAATACGTTCATACATAAGGTAATGTGCTTATATAAGTACAGTTATGCTTTAGTTTTAATATTTCTTCGTTTATTCTAACATACACGCAGATACCGCTCAAATACAAATAGCTTCAATCTATTTTTCTTTAAGCATTTTTTTTCATAATATTTGAAATTGACATTCAAAAATTTATTTTTTTTTTTTGTAAATTTTTAAGATCAGTTCAAAATGCAAAACTGTATAGTTAGTCTTTAATATGAAAAAAACTTGAACTGATGCTGTATTATATACGATCGTTCAATGTTAGAATTTCCGTAGAAGCTTCAGTAGAGGGAAAAATTCTACTAAGCTGAAAATTAAATAAAACCTGTAATTTTAAAATCAGATACAGTGTGAGATACGCATGGACGTGGTGCACTATTAGGAAACCGTGTAGGGCGCCGAACAAGCTAGCACCGGATCTGCACTTACCACAATTCTGTCATTTTGATTACACTTTGGATACGAAATAGAAGAATGACTTTCTGCTGTACAATTATGATCTGCTTGCTTACTGTATCGTACACATATTTATCCATTTTAGCCATAATAAAAAAGGACGTCGCATTTGAAATCTTAGATGCAACAAATTACTCTAAAGAAATTTGATTAAATTACATAAGACTAACCCTGCAGTTGAACAGATCAACGACATTTTCCTTTATAATACAATTATTTTCATAAAATCTATCTACAGATATGGGCAATGTGGACAGTATCCCATTTTTAAGGTTTATCTTAAAAAAAAATAAATTGACAAAATTTTACACTTTTGGACAATCTCATAAAATGTCTACACATACATGTATGTTGTATGACGAGGCATTTTAGCGTCAAGCAATTTGACATTTACGAAATTTTAATGTTACTGTTAATTGGTTGAATTGAGTTTATTATTTGTACAGCATGACTTTCAATTATAATTGATTTGACACAATTTATCTTATATAAATTGCTTTTGAATGAAACAAGGAAGAAATTCATGAATTTTTAACTAGTTTATTTTAGTTTTTTTATTTTCTTTGTTGCTTTTATCATTTATAACAAGTTATCTTGTTTGTATATACTAATATTGTAATATGTAGATGTAGACACATGCATATGAACTCATTTGTTATCGAAACTGGTTCGAGACCTTTAATATTGTTTACATATTATAATGTGAGTTTGGAAAGTTACGAATATGAATAAAATTACTGAATCGGTTATGTTGCATTTTTGTTGCAAAACAATTACATTTGCGTGAATTTGCAATTATAATGGGTGATCTTTTAAGCGTTTGGCTTTTAAATTTAAAGAAACAGATTTTTGAATCGATAAATATATCGTCGTAATATATTTTTCGAATGTAATTCTATGTTAGTTTTAGCCACGATTACGTTTTAGATTTGAACTTTTTTATCATATATTTTATTCAAAAGTGTGATAATTTAAATCAGATTTTAAAAAAGGCGTTTAGGGTGATGCACCCTGCTTATACGTCTAACACAAAACGAATCTTGTATGCGTTTTGTAGCCAAAATCATTTTTAAAATAGTAACATAAATCAAATATTGCTGTAAACAGCTTGACTTCATTAACTTTTCCGGCAAAGATAAATTACAAGTTCTGGTTCCTCTACGATGAACTCGATTTGATGTTTAAAATTGTAACAACTCACAAATGAGATGTAAATAAAGATAAAAATATGCAAATCACCCGTTATAATACATACTGTTTCTGATTTCTACTGGGCTGATTTCCAATTGATTTGTACGAACAAAACTGTATCATATGCAATAGACTTGCATAAAATTTGTATTAAATTTTTTAAATATCCTGAATTGAATTGCAAATTCAACCCCTTTCAAGACCAGATTTTTAATTGATATATTTTGGTTTACACACTATGCTCCCATATTTTGTATAATCGGATCGAAACATGAGTACTAAGAATATCTGCATAGATATGAGTGGAAAGATATTTGTTTTCTCTCTTAAAATCTATAATTAAAATAATGATTTCATTTATTTTAACAGAGATAAATTAGATCAAATTAATCATTTAATTTTTTTTCCCAATTTTTTCACATTTTATTTTAAATTTATAACGAAGTTATGCGGGTTGATTTTTTTTTTGAATTAAGCTGTAAAATTGAAGGATATTAGTTAAAGTATAATATTTTAATATTTTTTTTTTTGTTTTTTTTTTTTTGGCTAAAAAATATTAATTTAAAAAATGTCTTAATTTTCAAATTTTTCTTATTTTCTCTATACGTATGTATAATTAATTTTCAGATATTTTCTGTCAATATTTTTACTAAAAAAAAAAATACTCGTAGCGAATTTTTTTAAGCATTTTTAATTTGAATGATGAATTCATTTTATCTTCAGTAAATTGCTGTCGTTTTAAATATTATATATACATATATTATATGTACATATATATACTTATCTTTAATATATTTTATGTATATTTAAATAATTTTAAAAAAATAATTAATAAATTAAAATTTTTGGTGAAAAAGAAAAACACACAAATTTGGGTTAAAAATTTTTTTTTTTGAAATTGAAAAATTGAAATTTAAAAGAAATTTAATTAAATAATTTGCAACTAATAAATCAAAATTCTACATTATTATGTTTGATACAGTCTGAATGAATTGGTGTAGCAGCTGATTAAATTGATAAAAATAAATTTGTTTTTTAGTAATAGAGAAAAAAATGAAAATTTTTTATTAGAAATTTTTGGATTTTTATTCCTCCTGACTCAATGAAAGGGGGGTGTCGGGTGTGTAAGCGACAGGGAAAACGTTGACCGTTTGCTTTTTAAGCATTCCAGCGTCGCAACTGTGTCTAGCTGCCACCAAGTGCTCATTATACCTCCACGTGGTAGCCCCCGGGCAACTGAACAGATTTCAGGCTAAATAATGAGTGCGTCTCGTAGCGTCTGTCCTACAATAGGCGGCTACAAACAGCGTCTGTTTCCTTAAAGGACGGCTGATTTTTAAGATGGAAAACTTTTAAACCCTTCAGAAGGCAACGGGAAACCACTGAAGTAACTTCCCTAGAAAAATCATATGACAAGTACAAAAGAAACACGGCCCTCAGTCTCCGGCAAAAAGAGGGTGCTAAGAATCCCGGAGGTAAAACAAAAACAACACTCAAAATAGGTACTTGGAATGTCAACAGCTTATTTGAATCAGGTAAATTAGCAAATACGGTACAAGAAATGCAACGCTTAAAAATAGATATCTTGGGCATTAGTGAAACATGGTGGCCAGATAAGGGTGAATGCCGAGTAGAAGGAGCAAAATTTTATTACTCAGGAAACAATACCTCAACTCATCGTAATGGCGTTGGCATTATAGTTACGGATAAAATTATAGATTATGTAACAGAATGTGTATCGTATTCAGACAGAATCATGCTAATGAAAATAAATGCTAAACCAGTAAAACTCAACATCATTCAAATATACGCCCCTACTGCTGATTCATCTGAAGACGAGATAGAAGAACTCTACGAGCAAATTAATTATCTCATGAAACAACTAAAACCTCATGAAATCAATATGGTGATAGGAGATTTCAATGCAAAAGTTGGAGCAGGAAGAGTAGATGGAATAGTTGGGCCTTTCGCTTTGGGTTTGAGAAACGAAAGAGGTGATCGGTTGATACAGTTTTGCCAGGAACAAAAACTTAAAATAACCAATACATGGTTTTGCTTACCGTATCGAAGATTATATACGTGGACATCACCCCAGCATAGCAGAGGAAACATTATTCGTAACCAAATTGATTACATATCAAACGCTTTAGTTCATCTGTAAAGTCGGTCTGTACATATCCAGGAGCCGATGTTCCATCAGACCATAATCGTTTAGTAGCTAAAATAAACATCAAACTAGCTAGAACTAGAAGAGAACTTCGTCAACCCAAAATAGATGTGGAAAAACTAAATAATACGGATATAAAGAATCAATTGGCTACTGAAATTAACAACCAACTAAGATCTGTTATGGAAGAAAGCGAAAATATTTGGGATCATGTAAAATTAGTTCTAAAAGACACTTCAAAAAATATATTGGGTCACAAGAAGTACGTCGCAAAACAAAAATGAATGACACCAGAAATATTGCAGATGATGGAAAAAAGACGTACTTTCAAAAACAAAAACTCTGCAGAATATAGAAGTATTCATCACCAAATAAGATCTTCAATCAAAAAGGCAAAAACAGATGGGCTCAGTAAGGAATGTAGTGAAATCGAAAGACTTCAACAAAATCACAACGATTTTAACTTACATAAAAAAGTTAAAGAAGTATCTGGAGTGTATAGAAGATCACATACAACCACACTTCGTAACGAAAATGGGCAAATCATTATTGAAAGTGATGAAATAAAGAAGGAGTGGGAAAAATACATTAAGAACTTATTCTCAGATACCTCAAGAGATTTACACCAAACTGAAACATTCAATTTGTTATCAGAAGTCCCAATAACGATAGATGTAATTAAAAAAGCAATAAAATCCATGAAAAAGAACAAAACGCCTGGACCCGACAAAATACCATCGGAAATAATTAAGCTAATAGATGATTCAAATCTTAATCTGCTTAAAAGAATTTTCAATAGCATTTTTGAAACAGGAAATTATCCAGAAGATTGGCTGAATTCTACTTTCATTCCGCTTCCCAAGAAGTTCAATTCCAAAACATGTGATGATCACCGGTTAATAAGCCTAATGAGCCATTCTTTGAAAATATTTTTGAAGGTGCTACATAATCGCATATACACGAAATGTGAACCACATATGGGCAAAACACAATTTGGTTTCACAAAGGGGACAGGTACCAGAGAGGCTCTGTTTGGCATTCAGGTACTTGTGCAAAATTTTCGTGATGTGCACAAGGATGTCTTCTTATGTTTCGTCGATTATGAGAAGGCTTTTGATAAAGTTAACCATAATAAGCTAATGGAGATATTACGAAGAATATTAATTGATGAAAATATTATGCTATGTATAGAAAATCTGTACTGGAAACAATCAGCAAGTATAAGAACTAAGTATGGCATGACCAACAACATACTAATACAAAAAGGAGTTCGACAAGGATGCATACTATCCCCTTTACTCTTTAACATCTATGCAGAGGCCATTTTCGAAGAAGCAGTTAACGACGTTGATGTAGGGATAAAAGTCAACTGCACTTTTTTAAACAATATTAGATACGCGGATGATACAGTGATTATTGCAGACAACTTAGAAGACCTACAACATATAGTCGACAAAATAAACCACCATAGCAAAACATTCGGATTAAAAATGAATGCATCTAAAACGAAGTACATGATCGTAAGTAGAACAAGAACGCCGTACACAGCGGCCAGGATTGAGATCGACAACATTCCAATCGAACGCGTAAAATGTTATAAATACCTTGGATGCTGGTTAAACGAAGACTGGAATTGCGAAATGGAAATAAAATGTCGTATTGAAATGGCAAGAAATGCTTTTATGAAATATAAAAAGATTTTATGTAACAGGCAGTTAAATTTGAACTTACGCTTACGATTCATGAAGTGCTATGTGTGGTCAGTACTCCTGTATGGAGTGGAAGCTTGGACCTTGAAAATCAAAGACATCAATAAAATAGAGGCGTTTGAAATGTGGACGTTTAGAAGAATGTTAAGAATCTCATGGATGGATCGCGTTACAAACGAAGCGGTTCTACAGAGAATGAATACAAAACGTGAGCTATTCCTGAGTTTAAAACGTCGCAAAATGTCTTACTTTGGCCATGTAATTCGCGGAACAAAATATGAGCTTCTTCAACTAATAATGCAGGGGAAGATTGAAGGCAGAAGAGGAGTAGGGAGGAAGCAGTTGTCGTGGCTGCGAAACATCAAAAACTGGTCCGGAATCAACAACATCGAAGATCTGGTACATGCGGCAGCAGATTGAAACATCTTCCGTGATCTGGTCGCATCGATTCAATAGCTATTGACTGTTTAAATATGATCGCCATATTATTATATTCGTTTGTACAAAATTTTAATACTGCATCTTCAACAGTTTCTTAGATAATTATCAAATAATTTTTGAAATTATAATATAGCACTTGCCTGAGGAGTCAATCGGCACTTGCTTTTATAAAATATCAATGCAACATTTTAAATAGTTTTTGAATTATAATCAAATAACTTTTGAAATTAGATGATAGTCGATTCAGTTACCCGAACCACTTCATATAGGATCCTAACGAAATACGATTCATGGTATTTACTACAACAGATCGTTTGTAAATTTCTGTAAATTTTAATCAATTAGTTTTTGAGCCATCACTGAGAAGGACGGACGCTCGGACTGACAACTCAGAACGCACTTTAAAATTATATTTCGGAAGTTTATTTATTAGTGTTACAAATAGAGCAGTAAAATTATAATACTCTTCTACCATACGTTCGCCAGATTGTAATTAAATTAATTTGTAATACTTTTCAATAGGTATATGCAAAAACGGTTTTGTACATACATATGTTAATAATGACATCTTCTTCATTGTGCAATATCTTATTTCATCCACATTTATTATTAAATTATGCAACACAATAATTATTAGTGTGTCAAAATTATTTCTTAAATTGATTCTATACAATCAGGCATGCTTAAATTGTTTGTGTTTTTTTTCACCACAAAATAAAAATTAATAAAAAAATGTCACAATAAATTTAATTTTCTTTATTTTTTTTTTTTATTGTATAAGATCAAATTTATCTGATAATTTGATCAATTTCCTGAAAGTATTGTTAAAATTTTTTCTCTTTATTTTTAATAGAATAATAAATTGACACATTTAATTTCAACTTCCGTTTAAATTTTTCAAAAGAGTTTCAAATATACAAAAAGAAACACGGAAAAAAAACACTTGAATACAAAAGAAAATTTTGGAAAAATAACCTTATTATTACGCTTTTTAAACATAATATAAAAATATAATAAAAGAAAATTAAATGATTTCTTTAAAAGAAATTTATCTTTTCGAATCGAATTTAAAAAAAATAATATAGACGCATTTTAGGAGTGAGTAAATGACTCTGACTATTATTACTACAAATATATTTTAAAAGACCCTAAAAAATTATACCCTTTAATTCAACATTATACTTATACTTAAATAACATGTTCATAAAATATGGTATAATATTAAAATATAATATGAATTAATAAGGAGTTTCAATATTACATGAATAAAATAATCTGTATTAAATATACAGTAGAATCCATTTAAGTTTACACATTCTTAAATAAAGCATTTTAGGCAGTGTTTACAGATTACTATGCTCACTAAATTGCAAATCGAACAAAGTTCTTGGGTGTTTGGCAAAGCAATAATTAATATTAAATTTTAATTAAATTTTATTTCTAATAATTAAGGTAGCGAATTAATTGTAATATAATAGTGGTAAGAGAAAGGTTGGAAAGCGAATGCAAGAAAAAATTTCAATTTACTTTTTTAATTTATAATATTTTTAAAAAATAAATTTTTCAAATTATTAATATTGTAATACATAATAATTGAAGGATATGTTAGCTAGTTTTAGAATTTTTCAAAATTCCAAAATTAACTTATATTTTAAATGAATTCCACTGTAAATACAGACATTTTTTTTCTGTTCGAAATTTCTTAATGATTATGGTTATAATCATTTCTCTCTCTTTCTCTTTGTATATTTTAATTCCTTCTCGAAACAGAATTCATATATACATATACATCTTCTATACATTTATTATTATTCCAGGTATTCATTTAAAATTCAACAGGTGTTTAATCTTTAGTTAAGATATCAAATTTTTTACGCTCTTTTCTTTTATTTGTTAAAATGTTATTTATACATAGGTATTAGGTTTTATTTGTTAATATTAATAACAATGAAGTTAAACACTGTTATACAATCAGGAGAAATACGAAAAAAAAAATTTTTTTTTCGTTAAAATTTCTGATATTCTTTTGTTTTTCCTAAATTGTGTTCATTTTTTCTAAAATTCCTTAAACACCAAAAAATAATCAAAAAATGATAAAAGAGCAGAAATGAACAGAATTTTTGGTGGTTTTTGTGTTTTTTTTTCAACATCTTTTTGATTGTTAATCTTGCACGTTCAATAAAAAAAAAAAAACTTTTCTGTTTTTTTTTTTTTGGTGATTTGCTGCTGAAAATCGAAATGAAATGATAAAATTTTTGTTTTCATTTTATTTGTTAGTATAAGACACAAAATCGTTTTCGAATTAAATGAGAGAAAAATATCTAAAAAGGAACATTCAGGAATATTGTTAAAATTGGAGAAAAAAAAAAAGAAATGAACGGAAAATTAGTCAAAAATTGTAGGTGAGACAAATAATTAAAAAGTAAAAAAACCAGAGAGCAAATTAGATTAAGAGTGCAATGTTTTTTTTTGGAACATTAGAAATATGATATGATGATAATAAAATATATAATATGAGGACATCCCTAAAGTTAATAGGCCAGAATCAGAACGAACCTATAAGGACAATATCCATTAGATGGCCCAGAACAGAATTCATTCCTGATTGACTCTCGTCTTATATACTAGAATTGTAGACAATAAATACAAGAGCCGATACCATGCAGTTTCTGGCTAGGCTCAACAAAATTAATGATGACGAATGAAAATGAGGACATGCATAGTCTTTTATCGAGAGGATTGACTGCCCTTGTACATTCTTACAAATCCATGGATTACTTCAAATAGAGCGCGTGAAACTTGAATTGTTTTTGTGTACTGTTCTTCCATGGTCTTTTTAAAAATTTCTGCGGGACTTAGATCGAACTTTACTGATTTCGCGTGGAAGCGAACTAATTAGCGAGTATTGGCATTCTAAATTCAATTCGGGTTGTCTTTATATCGTTTTAAAATTAGTATATAAAAATGGATGTATTAGTACCCGTAATGCTACTCCTTATAATGAGATAAGAAAATCAATTAAACCGTTGACTTTACTTTGTTTTATAACTTAAAAAATTTCTTTGAATTTCCTGACACTTACAAATCTTACGTTATAGGATAATATTTCCATATATAAAGTTGTTTGAAAAATC